GAAAGTGAGTAACTTTGATATGGGAGCGCCACTGACGGTAAAATTGCATCATTTTTCCAGTGTCGTTAAGTGTTTGGTGCCCCATTAGAAACGCGGTAGTTGTCAGTCCGACGAAGTTTACAGGCTATTCTTTTTATACTTGGCTATTGGATCATAAACTATCCACTTCTAGGACGCTTCTACTCAACACAGAACCGGGCGAAAAGTACTCTGCGAAGTAGGCAGTCCTCTGGTGTGAGAACTACTTGTTTTCATCAGCGTAATCCTGTAGGGATTGATAGGTTGTCTCTCCTCGAATCACATAGTTTACCTCAGTATTGATAATCCAACATTCCCAACAGACCAATCAGGTGCTACGAAGATACAAACTGACGGTCTTATTAAATCCTGCGCCCGCAGAGGTCACGCTTTTGATTCATTAAGCAGTATTCGTCATGATGACATGATCTACACTTTGCCTTCGAAAGACAGACTGATTTGTATCACCCATATCCCATGGCAGAAAGAAGTCTGGCGTTCCCAATTTGGAGCATTGACGTACTATCCAGACAGTGCACTGGGACTTACATGAACGTCCGATTTAATTGATTTATTTACCACGTCGGTTAAATGGTATGCAAGCAAGAGGTTTGTGTTCGACTCCATCCAGTCGTGCACCAGAACCCCAAACTTTGCAAGTAGTAAAAGCGCACAAAACTGTGCGGTAGAATTATTTAGGTCAAAAATTCCTAAAGGATCTTGAGGAGAGCGGTACCGTCCGCGTACGTAGAGCCGTTGGTGAACGCTCAGGGAGCAGTTCGATCTCCTAGGTCTCGGAGATAGACAGAGTAGCTTCAAGCAAAATGTCAATAGCAAATATGAAGAGGAATAGTGGGACAGGACGGCCTTGTCTTACATCATTGGACGGGGCCGAACCAAGGCGAAAGCTCGATGAAGACCCGTACTCGCTGAAAGAATTTGGCATCTAGGGCCTTCATAGGGGACGCCGCCAACAAACAACCTTTAGACCAACTAATGTTGAACGTCTGTTCGAAAGCCTACCTATTGTAATGATGTGGTCGGTATCTCCCAAGCTAAATTCAGGTTGACTCTCAAAATGGCAAAAAAAAACACCTAGCATTGTCCAGAAGGGGCGGAAAATTACATCATAGCTGTGACCGTTGCCGAAAACTAGACGACATAATACTTACTTGTTTTTTGGCCAGTCTTCTCTTAATTTCCCCAGAATTGATTGCTTGATCATTTAGGTCCGACATGCCATTCAAGGAGACAACATTTTTGCAGTGAAATGAACTCATCGGAACTTGCAAACCAAGGAACATTATTGCGACCGAAATGGATTGGTTCAACATGCCTGTGAGGCACGTTTGCACTGTTCAAGCGTGAGAGATAGAACAGCATTACCTGATGGCCCTTGAGAATTTAGTCTCGACCTTACGGGGCATCATTAGTGACAAACTACCAGACACATACGCGATTTACTGGGATAAGCCCTGAAAATTTCACAGAAGGGTGTCTATGGTTAAGAGTTTTTGCGCACATTTTTCTGGTTAACATAAAACAAGGTGTTCTGGCCGAACTGCAGCGAAGACAGCCTGTCGGATACGAATGTTGACGGGAATTCGGATTGAGACGATGGGGGTTCTACCCGAGGAAGTGACTCACAATTCACTTTGACAGAGGTTACAATGAAAGTCTTTGTGTTGAGGCTTTTGTTGTAAGCACGTGCTGCAGTTGTGTCGATTGACAAGGCGATAAGAAACTTCATCCCATGCACGCACAGTGCTGATATTTTAGTGGTTAGGATTTGCCCGCCGCTAGGGTAACATCTCCTAAGAATAATAGCACATTGGCGAAATGCACACATTTGCAACTTAATTTGGTTTGTCGAGAGACTCACCCGGAACCCAGTTGAATCTCTCGGTTTTGATGTTTCCAGGCGACTGAATGTGCTGCACCAGTCAGCCTCATGTTTCAGTAGCTACGATATTCAAGATATCGCAATACATATATATTGTTGTAATTCACTACCCATAAGGTTGCTGAGGAGTTTTCAGCAACCTTATGAGTAGTGCATCACAAAAATAATAGCACATGTTTAACACACCGAAGTCAGCAAAACCAGCTGAGACATGTCTGATACGCACAGGAAACTGAAAATTTCCTACCAGTCAGAATTGATTCGCCATTTAAGCACTTGTTATGTATACTTTTTACTACAAGGTGAAATTATATGACAGGCTGAATGAGGTGGTATCGTAAAGGTCTTGCTTCCTTTATCTTTTTTGCAAATGCCTCTCTAGCGTAAATTCCGGCCTAACGGATATAGTCAAAATAGACAAATAAGGCTACTGCCCAAAATCAGTCTGGAGGATCAGGCTAGACATGATTTTGGTTTTCCGTTTGCCTTCTGATATGACAGTTTATGCCTCCTTAACCCCAAAGCAAACGAATCTAAGCAGCATAGGACATTAATTAATTTAACAAATGTGGCCACAAGGTTTGAATGCAATTAATCGATCGGCCGATCACAATCGATAGACCGAATGAGTGAGCAAAGATCACCCAGCTCTGATCAGTCGTGAAGTCTTAATATCATATCAGTGGCTGCTGAAGTGATGCACGTAAACACTGGGGGCACCATTTGTTCCATTTTGCGCGAGTCTGTTTCCTCTCAACTTGTGATACCTAAATCAATTCAGAAAATTATACCTAGAAGCAACTGGACCAGGCTTTGAAAAAATCACCCACGAATGCGTGAATGGAAGTAAATAATATCGAGGTCAAAGAATATATGGGAAGTTGGTTAATCTACTTGTGTGCGTTCAAATTCTTGGCGAGCTTAAGCATCGGTTGAAGCATTTTCCTGACAATATTATTAATGCAAACATATCTGATGAAAGCTGAAAAAGCTGTACGGTACTTAGCCGTCTCCCTATTTGTTGTGTCCTCAAGAATAACTGAGCTTTGTGTGTAATAAGAGGATCGGTGTTTGTGGCAGCGATTCGTAAACTAACGGGGAATCGCTTTTTTGTTTTTTCTCCATGAGTCCATTTCACCAAAACATGGCGACTTCCTTGATGCCATCAGTAATGATGGATTTGACATCTTCATCGACGCTTATATACCTAACCATTGTCTTTTTATTGGGCTGAGTTCGACTGAGAGCCTTTAATTCCGGAGAAACAGCCGGGAGAAGTTCCAGAATGGTTTCTAAGGCCGCTATTAAGAAATAGCGCAAGGCAGATTTCCATTGGGCTACAAATTCGGATGTTAATTCTTGACTACTGAGCACGTTTACAGTAGTGTAAAGTAAAACGAATAAAAGTAATGCCAGCTCCACCGTACTTCAGCACCGGTACCGGTGAAAAACCGGAGACAAATAATATTCTGGACGTATCCACGCCTTGAGGGGCGCTACTTGGGAGCTAATTGGCTTGTTAGCGTTTTCGGCGCTCCCTCTAGTTGAAAAACGTCCCTAATATACCACCTCGATATCACAGCTGATTGCATGGCCAAGTTCACGCAAGCTGCCATTTATTTCCTCTATATTATAACAGTCATAAGTTTCTTCATACTGACATCACGATCGCTTGGATAGTCCGCTTCCTGTCCTACAGCGATCTTTGTAGTTAGCGCACATCAAATTCTACAAATACTGCGACCACCCACAGTATTGCTCGATCTTTTTAACTGGATGGGATATGAAGCCCAAATTTGTGTGAATGAGAAGATAAAAAATGCGGTGCATAAAGCGAAAAACAGCTAGCGTGGACGATCCATCTGTGGCTGGTTCTTCAGCTGTTCAATTTTATTTCGGTTTACTTGCTTTCTTCTGAGGCTGCCGACAAAACACATATCTTTGATGCTACTAACTTCAACAGCAGTAGTTCAATATTTAAAACATCACTTCTTCATAGCGAACTGGCTCGGTACTGTTCTCTGGCCACTCGTGTTACAGAACGCTGGTCGCAAGGTTGCTTAAAGTTTCTCGCCGACCCAATACGGTCTTCGACTCAATCTGTGGACATGGTCTCCAAGTTTTCACGAACCGTTTGTTCCAACCGAACACCAAATTGCACGTAACAAGTTTCTCGCCGACCCAATACGGTCTTCGGCTCAATCTGTGGACATAGTCTCCAAGTTTGCACGAACCGTTTGCTCCAACCGAACACCAAATTGCACGTAATTAGCGAAATAGTCTAGTCTGAAAGTAACCCTACTGTAAACGTGAGACTGAGCAGGTGAGTCCTCGGTTAACGCCCAGGTAATTTGCACATGATCATAGTTCGACACTTGTGTAAAATTTGGTGTTTAAGTAGAACATAAGGTGGATGGAAACTCGAGGACGACGGCTACCTGATGAGCCAGAAATGGGTGAAACTGGCATTGCTTTCTGATGGTTTTGCAGCAATCTTTTGTGTACCATCGTTCCATATCCCAAAATATCTAGAATATCGTGGAAACATGCACCACATAATTTGAATAATGACAAAAACGAGAGATTCGCCTTAGCATCTCTCAACGTCAATATAATTTGCAAATGAGTGTGAACTTTGCCCCTCAGCCTTGCTACAGATTTTGTTGGGAAGAAGAAGAGGCCAACACATGCTTGGTCAGAATCAACCAAAGTTGAATGGGAGACCTTCCACGCATCTAAACTGATCTGATCTCAGAAGCAACCTACCACAGCGATCAAACATAGCGAGGATGTGTGAACAACAATCCAGTGATGATTAGCACTAACCTCTCGTCTGTATGCTTACCCGTTTGCTCCCGTTCACACCTCATTTCCTCAACCGAACATGACACCTACATTTTGAAGGACTTCCGGACTCTATTATCAAATCATTAGCTGTGCCGTTCCAGTGTTCCCCCTACCGAAAATCCGATGTCGCTGCACTTGGATATTGGACACTTGAGGGATAGTTTTTGGACTAAAAAACGATTTGGGAAGCCGGCGGACAGCTCAACAACGGCTCAAAACGGCAAAGTACGCATAGAGGTCATGTTGTCCGAATGAGTGTAAAAGGCATGTTTATAAAAAAAAGCACACAAGCGGACGTTCCGTTTTTAAGTAACAATAAAATAAAATCTGTGATAAACATCACGCAGCCCCGGAAAAAATGTTGCTTTTCTACGCACAAGTTTGCGGAGTGGCATAAACTGGTAAGATTTACTGAAGCTTGTTGGTAGCTAAAACGAGATCCAAATGACGTGTTGTGTGAGAAATTGTCTTTTTCGTTCGCTGAAAAGACCTGCATCACAGTTGGAAGTTTAAAGATCCGTCGAACGTTGTCTCACGGCTTGTTTACAAAGGATGGTATGCGCATTCCCGTTGGCTATACCGTTGGAAAGATGTGAACGATTTTGCGACGGTGTGGAACTGCCATTTTTCACCCTGTTGGTATCCTCAAAGTGATTATCGCGTGTTCCTTCCAACTGACCGTCCGGATTCTCTCGAATATCCTCAATTTCTTGCAGTTGACCAGTGAGAATTTTGAATAGGAGAAGCAGAATTAACTGAATGGAACGGAAGGATAAAGTTCGATTAAACTATAGAGTGAAACGACTAATTTGGAAAAAAGAAAGCGAGAATCTAAGCCACATCATTTCCATCTGACATGTGAACACTGTGTCCGTTCAAAACCGACTTCACCAATGAGATCACATTACGTCAAGATGGAGCGCTATTCACTCTGCTTGTACAGATGTCTGGCATAAACTCGATTTTTAAAAGTAACATGTTCGTCCCGGACGCCCAATGGCCCGACAACTTCGTGAATCCTAAGCCATGCTACTTGCATTCGCTTTATGGAGATACTGGAGTCGTTTGAACTTTCTAAATAAAGCCCATCCAGAAAGCGGCTGCTCCTCCAGGAGAGATCTTACTAGCATTCCACCCCATCGGTCACAAGTGGGCATGACATCTCCCTTTGAGAAGGACTAGGATCTTCTTCAGAAAAGCCCCACCAAAAAATTGACCCCCGGCACCCAAAAAAGATTAGAAAAAAGAGGATATGAAATGTGAAGATTAGAAAAAGGAGGATATGAAATGTGTACTTTTAGTTTTTATCGAAGAGGGTGAAATTGGGACATGTCATTAATCATTTTTCGGTACCTTTGCCTCCAAACGAACTCACACAAGTAGCTGTCCACTAAAGATCGGTGTGTGCCGCATTGGCGTTTAATGTGCATGTTGTAGGCGTGCCCTGCGTGGTTTTCACGGCGAGATATTAGCATTTCATCGATCTCGATGTGTAGACCTGGGCCGCCAATAACTGTTGAAGTTTGCAAAAGCCGCCAGGTGCAAACGTCGCGAAGAAAGCTCTTTCAGTCAACAGCGGTCGTGTGGCTAATAGATATTTTCTCTGAACAGAATTTGATTTTTGTCAAATTTTTGGACCAGCAATAAATGAATAGAATTACTGTCCTAAACTCCATCCTAGACCGCTCCAGCCAAGTTCCCTTTCGAAGACCGATGTATTGCCGACACTGTCGGGCATTACACCTCCACCTGTCAGAAACAGTTGAAAGTGTCATTTGGTGGCCATTCTTGCATAAACGTTGATGGTGGCTTTGCAAAAAAACGCATTGCCGTCTCCTTGTCATGAACGACATTTGAAAGCGTCAGAAAGTTAATTTGAGGTTTTATGTCCGAACGGAGAAATTTTTTGCAGAAAATGGTCCTAGATGCGGATAAGGGATTGTTTTCACCAAAAACAGGTCAAGGTTGTGTGCGTACATTAAATTAAATTGGAGCTGGCAAAAAGTGGCGGGGCTTAACTTTTCGCACATGCACCTTTTGCGTTGGTGGCGGGGCTTATCTGGAAAAGATCCAAGGGCTAGTCCGTTGGTAAGGAGCAAAGAACTGCTTCCCCCCTCTCCTCACAGAGATCGTTCTACACTTTAGAGGAAGTGAACACTTTTTAAAATCTTTAAAACATCTAAAATCGTTATGAATAGATCCAAAAACGTAGTGTCAGTAATGGCATTAGGTGAGCCATGGTATCGTGACTGCCCATTGGCCAGAATACGCAAAGCAGAAGCGCGTCCGTACACCGACAAAGTGGGTTGATTGAGTGTTGAGTATGATAGGTCAGTGTTGCATTCTATTCAGCATGGTTTGGTTCAGCAAGGTGACAGACTGAAAATAAAAGTACACAACCATGCAGCACATGTTTTGTGTTACGCCAGAGATTTGGTGAAGGAGTGCACCTCAGAAGGTCGTATATCACAAAAGCATGAAATCGTGCCCGTTTACCAGACACCACAGAGCACTTGGGAGGATGAAATGTTCATCTCCCAGCTGTTCTCACCATTTTCGTCGTGATCAAATTACAAAACCACGAAGGTGCTGGTGTGAGTGTGACGCTAAGGATCACAAGTGGATCAACTGTGAAGGTCAAAATACAACAGGCACAGCGGTGTGCCGATGTGAATGCTGTTTACGATAGCCGAACGAAGGGAGGCATTTTGAAACGGACAGCGATCAAACTCCGCATATAATTCCACGCGAATTCAGGTCGATATTATCAAAAACTAAGGGTGTGCGAGTTCACCGGTGGCTGGACGTGTTGGTATCTCCAAAAACAGTTCATTTCCCGAGTTATTGCCAAATTATCTTTCAAAAACTTTGAATTTTTAAATTTCGTGCCTTTTCCGCCATGTTGCACCTCATTCCAAAAAGACCGCGCCCCTTTCCTATTGGCCAGTTATACTTTGTGTGCGCTAACTGACTTATCTCTCCCCAAGGTCACCCCAAGGTCGCTGTAATCCGCTTTTAGCTGAGGCAATAAAACCCCCCTTCTGAAGGTCTGGTCTTCTCTCTGCGCTGAGAGTGTTGGGGCTCACGTCATAGCTGGGGATTCGTGCGCTCGTTCTCAGGTCGCGTATAGCCGCGTACCCGATTCCTGTACATAACAGGAAGAGATGCCGAAGGCATCTTCTTACAAAAAACAAGGTTCGCCACGGTATATTCCCGGATGTAGCTAGTCTTTCAGACCATACGGCATGATAGAGTTCTTTGGGGGGTGAGGATACAATCATGTCTCCAAACAAAATATGCATTCTGAACCGCGCAAGTGAATAGGATAATATCAAGAGCTCCAGATGTTCCACCCGAACGATTGCCATTTGTGTGGCTGGACCAATAGTCTAGCTTTTATTGTAAAACGGGTAAGGACAACTCAGATGCCTACCTCCCCGGAAATTTGACTAAACACTGCGACCAGACGGCCGAAAGTAGAACCGTGTCGTCCAACAGTACAATAGCCAGTAGAACCAATTATGTTGGGGGCTAAACAGTAGCTTTCATGGTTCACTTTTCTGCCCACAGCTGTGCATTGCCCATGTTTGTGCTTCATGTAAGGTCATACAGTCGTCTACAAGAAAGTAGTGATGGACTGGCGTGCGTGGTCAACGTGATCAAGTCCTTTGGGCAATTCAATAACCGATGGAAACGCCCGACCGCGATCGAAGGTAAGCCCCGGCCAGAAGCAGGTATATTAACACTACTCAACGCACAACCACTCACTACACATCACTACTCTCCCGCAAGGATGTCATCGCGACTGGTGATGAAACGTTTGCAATTAAATTGCCCAGCTCAGTGAACAAACCAACGACCATCTACGCTACCTGAGCTATCAACCTTTTCCTCCGTAGTTAAATTACCCATTGGATAGTCTTGAGACACTTTCTATTCCAACTGACATTCGTGTCAGCCATGAGCGACTGCTCAGCGTTGTGAGAAATCGTTCACTCGTAACATCCTTTTGATGTATAGCTACCATTCCACCAGAACAGAAGCTGGAGGGCTTGAATACTGCTAAGCTGCCTAAGGCTGGACAGGAGCAGTTGAAATGCTGTGGTTGAAATTAAGCTACGGACCATCTGGTCAGTAGGACGTTCGCCCTTTAAACACTGGGCTATCTCAAGCATTGTGATTAACTCGCACTTGGACGGGGTATAGCATCATTCATCGCGTTGACTGGCTCCTCGAATGACAACTACTCAGACAGAAAGCCTACTCGCTTCTTCTTCGCGCTAGCGAACCGTCGCAGGATGCTGAAGGTTCCCAGTAAGGACGAAACGGACGCACACTGTGCTCCTCGGTTTTTCTGCTTAGATTAGCTTCAACTAGACGATGAAATCTCTATTGGAATAGTTGTATACATTGTGAAGTTATTGTGTGCGCGGATACAGACTTACACCAAACCAGTAGATGTGCAATATTTGCAAGATCCACAGCAGGCCATTGAAAGGAACAAACAGATTTTTGTCGGTGCAGCCAAGGTAGATGAACACACACCAGTTGCTGGAATGAAGCACTTTCAGTGGTACCAGTAACAAACGGAAGAGGAACCTAAGACAAAAGGGGCAAGGAAGAGAGAGAAGAATGAGAACCTTTTGACTGGAATCGATATGAGCTCACGACAAAAGATGGTGTGCTACCAATCGTCAGTCATTCCGACCATCATCATAAAAATCAGAACACGCCATTCAGATCACATGACCCGGTTAGAGCAACCAAGTTTTATCATGGAAGATCCATCATTGTAGTCTTGATGGACTAGTGATACCCAGGCACGTTAATGACAGGCATGTTACCATGTATAACTGTCGGCGTTGGTGACAGACAGTCCTGACCGTCGGCTGGAGAAATGCAGCCGCCCAGACTTTCAGGAGCTTAATGCGGTTAGTTGTTCCATGCCTCAGGTTTAGATTTTTGGCCTATCTTCGTGTCAGTCCATTTATCTGTTGTGTTACGGCTAGCAATGTCTAACTTTATCACATATTCTCTTCTGCAGGACGCACGACTTATGTAGCCTGGGTTGTATCCACGCGTAAAAGACGCTCGTCTCCTTCTGGGATCACCTCACAGCGACTTAGATGAGTGGTGTAAACTAGCGCGCGCCTGTCCCCTGCACAGCAGGTCACCTAATGTTTCCACTTGACTACTTCCAGCTGACACAGCCTACCATGATCCAGACTATTCCGTTTGAGGAATCTGATGGTATATGTCTTCTTACCATCATCCACTTGTGGATGCCGCACATTCCGGGTTGTTCAGGCAGATGTTGAGACAGTAGTTCATTCTAGCACTCTAGGTATTCCGATTCCCGGAGTGACCTTTGCGTTCATCACTGCACAACTCAAATTGCTTATTGGCTTATGCCATATGGCCGTATGTTCGTGTCTCAGGTGGAGCGAGATAGCTCAGTACTAAGAGCGAGAAGTTGCTAACAGGAATGTCCCCGGTTCGAACCCGACCTCTATTTCTCGATTCCCTCTGCCTGGGTTTGGACAACCTGACAGTATTCTAGCCCTCGTGCTCCCTTTGTGTGGCACGGCAGCTAGGCACAGAAAGGGTGTTACAGCCAAATGATNGGAGCGAGATAGCTCAGTACTAAGAGCGAAAATTTGCTAACCGGAATGTCCCCGGTTCGAACCCGACCTCTATTTCTCGATTCCCTCTGCCTGGGTTTGGACAACCTGACAGTATTCTAGCCCTCGTGCTCCCTTTGTGTGGCACGGCAGCTAGGCACAGAAAGGGTGTTACAGCCAAACGATTTTTTAGTACGTAGTTCAATAATATAATGATACAACTGAGCCCAGTTTGGGCTTAACCGCCATTAAGCATTGAAGACATTTAAGTAATAAATAATAGTATGGGTGTTGCACTCATCCGGTGCACAGCTGCTGTGCAACTCCGAGGCACGCTAGCTGAGATACTGGCGGACTGTTCAAGCTTAGACACGTGTAAGGAGGTACCTGCAAATGTTTATACGACTACCGATCATCAGTTTGGCATACTTGTGGTTGATGAGCTGTCCAATTCTGTTCAACATTGGACCTGAGTCCTTCGGTTTTAGATCTCTTGAAGGGTCTTCAGCTTGCAGCTTGCCGAAAACCATCTGTGGCATTTCCCGTTCTGCGCGACGTAGTTTGATTTGACAAGTGAATCCGTAAAAGAATGACGGCTTATGATATCTGTCGAGAGACCGAGGTGCCAGTGGTTTGTAAGGGTACACCAACTCGCTCGAATTAACCACAAACGAAGGTCGTTGTCAGCCGGTGAATTACAACTCCAACATTTTTAAACAACAAAGAGAAAGGTTTGATAAACAAGAAAAACAAGTTTACCTTTTCCTAGCGATTCGCATTTGTATTTGAGTCAATGGTTGTATGAGGCCTCTACGACAAACCGTCGACCTGAACAGTTTCCGGGCACTTTTACCACGAAAAATATAATACGGCATAGTATTGTATAGCATAGTAAGGTATGGTATACACTATTATAGTATTATATATAGTATTATAGTATAGTATAATATAGTATAGTATCGTATAGTATAGTATAGTATGGTATGGCATAGTATAGTCCAGCGGAGTGTAGCGTAGTACAAACTATCAACAGAGAGTCAGAAATTAACTTTTCGTCTGGCGAATGAATTTTGTATCCGATCCCATCACCGCCAACAACAAGTGGTTTGTCAAACCAATAAACTAACCATAGTCGCCTTCAAGTAGGTGTGAATAATATTGTTACCAGAGCACAGAAGTTTTGCTTGAGTGAAGGTTGCCGTCATTGCACAACTCTATCCAATGTGGCCGTGTGCCATGAAACCAAACTGTCGCTGCGTTAATGAACAAGTCACTATCCAATGACATATAGCAAATTAACGTCAAACTACAACGCTAGCGCTGCTGGACCACGCACGTACGTGTGCACTGGGGGGCAGGTGCCAGCTACAAATGGATAACCTAATCCCTGCGTGATCAGTTGGTGATAAAAGTGCTCACAAAACCTCACTTACCATGAAAAGGCAAATGCGACGAACCCTGCATCGCCCAGATAACAGTTGATCGGATATCGCTTGCCATGACGCGTCTTGAAATAGACGTTGAGCTTGGTGAATTCAAGCAGCACATCGGAGGTATCGTGGATAAACAAGACGAGCGAGCCCATTCGAAGAAATCTCAAGGAAGAAAGGAAAAAAGTAGAGTGATGGCTGAGTGAAAGCCAAACTCGGGGAAACGTTCTCAACAACAAACGGCATAGCGCAGCCGCCGTTCACCGAAGGTCACTACATTTGTAAGGAAACTTTCTGAATTCCACACAGACTTGGGACTAAAATTATCACAATAATTGCGGACAGTCTACTGAAGAAAACAAGGGGAACATTGCGTTGCCAGGTAGCTTGATGCCACCCATTTTTCACTCCCACTCATGAGCTTGTCGGTGGATGAGTTCATTATGTTACTGCGCTGAAGCAACGGTGTATCTTTACTACGAAGCATGAAGGCATACGGCCAGACGAATATCAAACACACACTCTCAACCGACCCGATTTGCTCAAAGCCGGAGATGGAGGATGGTCACATCAAGGCTCAATTCTGTCATCTGAATCGGAATGGAGATGTGTATGTATGGTGAAGGACACGGCAATGGACCAGTTCCAGCGACCCCCACTCTGCCAGTTCTCGGTCAAAATGGATTCTGATAAGCCTAGCGCTAGGTTTCTTTATTCCCTTGTTCTCTCCTTTGTTGTTGGGCTTAGTCTAAAGTTGATACATACGTACAGCATCCGAGTGTCAGGCTACACCCTCCAGCGCCGATGCCGATGATGCGGTATTAGGATTGTACTAACGTGCCAAATTTTCACTTTGGGTTTCGCTCTAACTGGTCATTCACAGTTTCCCACTCGAGGCCTACGAGAAACAATGTTCTCACCAGTGTGAAAGGCTTGTTTTATCGGGCGTTCGGAAATAGGCGACACCTACCCAAGTTGCGTTAGAAGATGCTGGGCACTGGATTGCAGGTAGACGGCAGTGGCATGTATGTAAAGTGACGAGGACAGCGGTGAGGAAATCTTCTGGAGCCTCGTATGCCACTGTTACACACGAATTCACCAATATGACTCCACATGACAATCAGCAAATAAAATCATTCCACTTTAGGTCTTAGACTTTAGGATGAACTGAACACCTCTGGATACGTTAGTCAGTCACACGGAGTCATCAAACCTTACAAAACTGAATTTTCACAAACGGGAACTCTCCGCATGAGAGAACGACTCGACCGATTGTGTAGGCAATTTTCCCAAGAGCATGTAACTGGTCTGGAAGATTGAACAAAAGGGTGGTCACAGCCAAAAGGCGAAACCTACTGATCACTGAATGTTGTGTTGCTCTTGGTTATTTCGAACAGATCTTCCCTACTCTGATGGCGTCTGTCGAATAGGGCTATTTTACAGCGAAGTCGCGTGATATTTTAATCTTCGACAGAAGTTCAGTCTTTATCGATCGTATCGGCCACTACGCTTCGCTGGTTGGCCTGAATTCGGAATTATTGATCCTGGACCGGCCATGAGGTCAGAAATACGGAGGGCTAGTCTAGCCCGTTTAGTATTAGCCGAAAACCTACGTATTACCAGGCTAGCAATCTAGTGAAAATACATTAGTCTGCATGCTGAAAAAGACTTGCTACATGGGATACTATGAACACAATTTGGTTGGCACGTAGACCGCACAGAAGTAATTTTAAGGTCGCATACATATGTTTGGCTACATGGAAAGTCAATAAATTCCTGTCCGTTTGTTTCTTTTTTATCACGTCATTAACTACCAGTGAAAATTGGGGAATGCATACGTTAGGACGCTGAAAATGGCGCAGTCCAAAGCTAAGTACATTTTGCTCCCCTGGACTGGTTGTCCTTTTTTGAGAATCAGAGGTATGACGAGTGCCGATGCACCTGTGTACTTTTTCTCAAAAACCGAAGTAGTTTAATTCATCTTGGATTCGAAAAAAACTAGCTGTAATATGGACGTCGCCATCGACTGGCGTGAACAGCGGTATCGGCTTTCAGTCGAAGAGAAGTAGACACCTGTTTTCCATACCAAACTTGAAACCGTACGCCTGTTCGAGCAGACACCAACCAATTGAGGGCTAGCGGTCATGCTGAATTACACGTCTAATTGCAGCTACTCATGAGTAATATGGAAAACGTAAGCGTCCAAATTTAGGGACCGATTGCGGGCACACCAACGTCGTAAGAAATAAAACTTTACAAAAAGTACGTTTCGTTCCAAGTTTCGAGGTAGCTCGTCAGAAAGTTGAAGATTATGAAATATTTTCATTGCGCTGAACATGACGAGTCAGAGAACTTATTGATCGGTAACTGCGGACTTCACCCGCTCACGCTCCGCAGCCAAACAACAGGGACGGCGAAACGACATTACTGGTGACATTGCTCATCATCTGTCATTGAGTTTGAAACACACAGGACATTGGGTTTCTGGGTCCTGACCTTGTCACGTTAGGTGTGTAGAGGGGTTGTTGAAATCTACCTATCACGTCCGTATTCGCAGGAGCCCCAAGGATGCGAGTGATATTGGTACTCATTCACCACGCTTTCGGGAAGGGAAAAGTATTGCAATTATGTGCTAAAGGGACCAGAAGAACTGCACTTTACGCGCAAGACACCGAAAGTGCTCTCACGGTGTGAAGATCAGCATGTTGTCACGTTGAAAACGGGACATAAAAAGAGAAGCCAGTTTCAAGAGTCATTAGTCGTACAAGACAAAATTTCCGTTTTCCGGCTAGGGAAAAGACCCCCCCCCAAGGATGGTAACAAGGAGTGCATGAGGAATCCAGGATCACAATAAATGCTTCCATTTTGTGAAGAGTTGTTCGTCAATTTGAGTGGGGAGTCAAGAAAGACTGCGTATAAGACAGTTTTGCAAACCTAGTAAGCCTTATTTTCTACAATGCAGGAACCCACAGTTGGTTATGAGTCACAAACGATAAAAAAACTTGAATGAATTGCCAGTTCGACCGGCGAAGACAATCATGAATTATGGGCAAACTTTCTGTGTTCAAATATTCGCTAATTCCCTCTGCAGATCGGCCAATTAATGTACGAAGGTGGTTCTTTACGGCCTTCCTATCAGGGAACTACAATTGGTTCTCCTCAGCTGCACCATTATTGATTACCTCATTTGAGAGGTGGCTCTATTTCGAGGGGACAAAAACACCGTCACGTGTCATGAAATGCATACCACCAGACGAGAAGCACTGATTCAAAGGGTTTCATCCCATAGAAACTAGAATTCGTCTAATTATAAATGCATTAATTGATGGTATCCGTTTAGCCGCGTGCATATTTTATGAATGTTGATTTTTTCAGGTCCTGTCTGTGAGCCATTTTGAACCACACGCATTAGACGTGTAGACACAGCCTTTCAAAACGGAAGTTGTGTGGGATCTGTGGAATGAGTAGGCTGCTTTTTCACCGTCAAACTTTCCGACGTAACATAAATGGACGTAGCGTGCCGTCGTTCGGAAAAAACACGAGCACCAGTTTAGACACAGCACAGGCATGTAGGCTATCATGCATGGGAGGCCGGATAAGTAGGGAAAAAACTTCGTTTTGGAATTTAAATCTGTAATCAGGCCAAAAAAGAAACAGGAATAAACGTTCTGTGCATTGGTTTCTGCCCAACCACAACCAATGGGAAACCCAGTCTGTTGTGCCCTATTTAGCTCAATCAGTTGAAAATTATATATATATATATATGACTTTCGTTTTCTTTGGAATTATCAACCTCCCAGGTGGCACGTATCTCTGATCGTAAAGGCATTAGACTCCAACTTTTATTCTGACGTGTCATTGGAAGGTTGACTCACATGAGATATTCTAGTCTGAATAGCTGCTTTAACAAGAGCAACGGTGAATTCGATGTAGTGGGAATGATTTGTTTATCAAAACAGCAAGTTTTTTCTAGTTGTGCACAGTTCGAATTCGGTAATAACTGGTGAGATTGGAAAAAGAATTCAATCAACCAATCAATCGACTGGCTGTAACACCCTTTCGGTGCCTAGGTGCCATATTAACGAAGAAAGAATGACGGCTGATATGCAGATGCTCAGGTCTTAACAGCAGCAGTCAAGATGTTGAGGTAATGCTCAAACCACAGACCTTCCGAAATTTCGCGCACTAACGACTGAGCTATCCCGGGCTCGGAGAAATCCTACCAGCCGATCCGATTGCCATCTCTTCAACCATTTATTCAAAAGCTCGATGTCATCATTTGTTTTACAATGGCCTTTCAGGACTACTTTTGAGTACCCCTCATCTGTTGCACTGTTTGTTTGACGAAGGCACATTCAGCTACTTGTCAACTCCCGACAACAGTAGCAAATGAGCGGCGATCTTACTAAATTAAAGTTAACCTCCAACCAATGAGAGTTTTCGGTAGGGATCAAAGGCCAATTACACGAAAGCGCTAGTTAGAAGAACCGAACGGGGCAACAGAAAGGGCCTTGATTCTGTCAGAACCGATTTACTTAAAAGTTTATAAGGTTGGAGAAGAGCTGGGTTACCGAACTAAAAGCCTACACGTCCAGTTCTAGTAGGAACTGAAGCACGGAACTGAAGGAGGCAAAGTGTACGGGTTCGGATGAACTTCACTAAGCAAACAAGGGGTTCCACATGAGAACGAATGTCCAAATACTTTCCACAGTGCGCCTATCAATTTGGGATGCTACAGTCATCAAAGGCAAAAACACCAGTGTTGACACTGATACTTCAGTACCGTACAAACGTTAGGTTCATCTAATTACGCTTACAGCTCTAGAGTGGGAAGAAGAGAGTGGGTGAGGGAGGGGACCTGGTGCTGGCCTATGTCAAGCATACTGAGGTGACATCACAAACGCTTGCTCAATCAGACAACCTGCAAAGAAACCGACATCACAAACGCCAATGACATCGATTGACTGCCATTTCTTGCAACGTCTCCAGCCAATCATAGTTGGAGTCGAGGGGACCCCATTCTGGAAGGCGTACAACATCAACAACACCCAAACTCTTTGTGATTTGCGAGGTAATGCGCTGTCCACCTCGTGGTTTGCCCCATCCTGAAGGAGGCATGGAGAACAATATTCGTCTTGGTAGACGGTGTTTCGGCAGGCGTAGCACATGACCGAGCCATCGTAGTCGGTGACGCTGGATGTTTTCCCTGATCTAGGTACCTGCCGCGCAACTAAATACCCGTTTTCCAATTACCTCATTACTAACACGCTGACGCCATCTAAAACCAGCCACGCTTCTGAGGCATCGATGGTCAAAAATCTGAAGACGCCTCACATCATCTGTCCGCAGAGACCACGTCTTGTACCCCTAAGATCTCATGATGTCTATTTTTGACGTCACAAGTGACGCAAACTAGCAAACGTGATTCGAGCCTTTGAGAATCTTTCGCTGACTTCATCAGACACATTTCTGTCAGAGCTAATACAACTATGACGTATGAAGAGTTTTGCACAATCTCCAATGATTCTCCAAAGCCCTTCTCCCACCGGACAGGCTGCTTTTCCATCAAACGTTTCTAACAGGTTTTTGTAGCCTGACAGGATTAGAGACTTTTGTCCGCCTCATCCTGCTACTCTGCACATGTCATAAACAAATATCAAGTTCTCTGAACAGACCCCGTCGGTGTACGTCAATTGTGTCGCACTCGACATATCAGCATCAACAAAGTATGTCAGTTAGGCCAGTTTGTTTAGAACATGGTTGAGTACATATGGCGATGCACTTGGGTGCGCGTGTCATGGTGTGGTAGGGGAGGACAGTACGCAATCTGCTACAGAAGTCACCTCATCACACACACACACAACCTCAACTGATGCGAAAGACCAGCCGTCCAATCGCTTAGCGCGCCGATCAGCTGATCATCCTTCCAACTACTGTAACGTATTATGCATAAGCCTTTTCGCAAGATTCATCTTTGTTTTCCTAGAGTGGCTTAGTTTTATTCGACGACCGAAGAAAAAAATGGTTCAAGCTCTGATTGGGGTGAAATGGCCCAAGTGGTCAGAGTGCGAATTTACTGACCAGAAGGTCCGTGGCTCGAACCCGACCTCTGCATTACGACTTTTCCTGTCTCGGTTTGGGCAAACCGGCAGTATCCCGAACCTCGTGCTTCCTTCGGGTGGCATGGCATTTAGGCACCGAAAGAGTGCTACGGTCGAACGATTTTTTAAGCTCTGCTGTTAGACAACGAATCATTTGCTTGATACAGTTCAGGTACGTTAAACAATTACAACATACTTCTACAATCGTCGCTAGTCTTTCGAGGTAACACGAGACGACTCGATCGTGCACCGTTCGCGTCTAACGTGCCGAAAATAACAAAATGTTTCGAATTTACACAACTGCACTGCGGAGCATGTTAAAGTAAAAATATTCGATGGATTTCGTACGACGTAGTGAATATTTCTGTGAGCGACATTGTTCACGGCAGGCATGCAGTTGTTCACAACTGACACGGTCAACGCCGTGGGTGTTTGGTGATTCGGCATACTAGCGTTGTATACGATGTAAACGGAGCCAGGTGAAGTGATTTGACATAAAAATCCGTAAAAGAAGGCGGCGTTACACTAGTACTGTGAAGGACGCGGAAATCGGGATCATAACCCACGATGGATGCCATACACTACTCCATCATGGTCGATAGTTGCGTTAGTTCAGACGAAATAATTTCGGTGGAACAGCGGTCACAATAGTCTCAAAAAGAAACAGGAGAACGAAGCTCTAACCGCGATGGAACTGGGCGTAAATAATGCTATAATACGAGAGAAAATCGATTTCAGTGCGCCCAGAGCAAAAGCGTGAAAACCATTCAAATGAGACTCAAAGGAATAAAAATTGGGAATAGCCGATAGATACATATAGTAGCTAACCGTTTTCTCACATATTTCAACGCTACAAAACTGTTCCAAAAGCACATGCCAGACCAGAAAGGGAATCCTATATCCACTATTAAAATTAGAAACTTATCAAAATTCAACTCAGAGGGGATGTTTAATTGTGCTGCTGAGTTCACACTTTTATGCAGCATCTTGTATTCACCTGATGAGACCTCCGTCGGCTAGTTCACTCTAACTGCATTAACAAGGGACGTTTCCCCAGGTGTACCATTGAGGCGACTCCTATAATTTTCCGTGTCGCCGCCACACTTTGTGGGAGTCAGTTTCATTTATCAACCTGTGGATTCATCTCAATGACAACTGGCTGTTCCGTGGAAGTCGCGGCTGTTTTAAGCTATGGTCCGATTGACCTTGAAATGACCCCTTTATTCCGACACAAAGAGCCTGGACCTTACCGTGGTGTGACAGTTTTCGTGCTGGGTGGTGTTTGTGTGACATTGTCATACCAAGTTGCTTAGAGGCTTGACTAACACAGAATCCTGGCTCTTTAGATTGACGATCAGAAATGCACTTCCCACCAAACACCGCTGCTTTGCGGTCTGGCTTTTGAGCCAAAAGACTTGGTCAGGGATCCTAGTCTTCCCTCTGTCTAGGCACCCCAGTCCACATACAAATATGATATTTTTGTTGTGCGGTGGCGAATTCTCACGATCAACGCTGATGTTGCTGTTTCTGTTGATTTTCCGTCATTTGCGGCTTATCAGCATGCGTGAACATCGAACAAAACCTTCAGGCATTCTGATACATGATTCCGTAGTAGTGGTGTTTTCCGTCTGACACACTTGGGGCTAACTTTTGGAATGGTCACAGCAGACTGAGTACTTTTTTTCTGGTCCAGTACCCTCGTCCGGACATATGAATGTGATATCTGTGTTTGTACTTGGGAAGTACCGTGGACACCAGCATCTAACGGACTGCAGCTTGTTGCGTCAAAAGTTAATGATGTCACCAAATGACTGTAGTCCCGGCGCCGTATTTGCTGAATGCAGGGAGATAAGTGAACGAAATTGGCCTATTGCTTATCTGCTGACTATCCAACACCCTGTGTCAACACACTTGTGTGATAGTGAGTGACTACAAAGTAAATGAGCCCGAGATAGTTCACTGGTTAAGACGCGAACCTACTGATCGGAACGTGGTTCAAACTCAACCCCGGCGTCATGACTGCTCTCGTCTAGGCTTGGACAATCTAGGAACAAGTCCTCAGCGCTCATGCTTCATCCGAATACCAAGACAGCTAAGCACCAACGAAGGGTGTTACAGCTGAACGAACATTACTTAGTACTAGCTAGTGTTGGAACAAGTTTACTCACATGGATGAGAATGGTGTGGAGAATTTAGCTCAGGTTCAGGTGAGATAGGGGCGTGCACTATTAATTTCATTTTCCAGAGGTAAGATGAGTCGCCTCGTTCTCCTCAAGCTACGTTATCTAACATTCTCAACACTTTTTTGAGTTCCAACTGGTATTTGCAACTTTTGCCGTTGCAATATAAAAGCCTTAAGACTACTTTAGAATTGTATACTATACATATACATATATATCGGTTCAGTCAAGTTAAGAAAGACCAGCGAGTGAAATTTCAGATTTCTCTTGTACAGCAAGCCATTTTTGTCTTTTAGCAAACCGTGTTTGGTTATGCAGCATTCGACAACCAAGTCAATGATACGCAAAATGGCACTAACAGGTGGACAAAAAAACAAGAAGAATATTGACAGAATCAACTGATTCATACTGAGGTCCGCAGCACAAAGCTCGTTTCCCCGCCGAACTTATCACGTGCTCTGTTTGTAAAATGAGTGTCCGATACTGACACTGTACAACCATAGTTTATTTCAGTTTTATCATATCCAGGCAATCTGGATAGAAACTGACAACAAGAACGTAGCCGTTATCGATTAGCAGCGCCTTTAGCCATGTACAGAGATGATCAAGCGGACCCTGGAAGACGGCAGTGCATAGACCTTTTGAAGTCACACTGATATCCTTCTGGCTGGTCAAAGATTGAAGACCCCTCTGGTTCCACCAGTTTGAATTGAGAACGGAAAACTGTGTAAACGACTTTTCATGCTACTAGGTTGGTTAAGCAAGAGGTCGAATTTCGATGCGTCAGTTTATAGAGTTTGTACCGGTTTTTCATGCTGAGTTTGGTGAACGTTTTTACTACCCCTCAGGGAGACGTCATCAGTGCGTTGTTATGAAGCAGAGCGGAGCGGTGTGTTGCACCATAGTGGGGGAAAAGGTTCTGCCCAGGTGAGCGTTCGTAACAAAACTATCTACTCGCCACGAAAGTCGTCCTTTTGAAGTCTAAAGATACTGCACACATACTGCATTAACCAGCACCACAGGAGTGCAACTCTACGACTGCCGAATACCGACTTTTCACCCGGTAATTTATAAACATTGTGAAAATCTGACGTAATACAGTTTTCATAAGGTTGCTGGAAATTCATCGACATCCCACGACCGGTTTCGCCCTTCTCTGGACTCATAAAGTGGGTACAATCCTACTTTGTGGCCTGCGTTGTTCCGTGGTCACTAAATGAACGTCAGATTTCGCTGAACGAGGAATGAACCACTGCGTTTAGAAAGGGCTTCAATAGGCGAGTTTTCAAACAGCATTGGCTGCAGATGGATGTATACATCATGGCACAGGTACGATATGGTACAACAAACGGATTTTACCACCTGTTCTCACCTGCGTACGAATGAGAGTGAAATTAAGCTGAGAGTGACCACGTGGTGAAGCAACATAGCCGGCGAGTCGGAACGCCACGGATCCAGATAGAGTGTTGCGTAGGCGGAATGCAGGTAGTGCGTCATTTGAACGCAGTAGATGAACTGTAAATCGAACGGTGGTGGATCTATGTAGAGGTTATCTGACGGAGATTGTAGAAAAAAGAGACCAGATGAGTTAGATGTTTAAAAGAATCCAATCAGCTTCATGATTTAAAAAAAATTTGAAACGCTAGCAAAAGCATACTGACCAGTTGACGTAACGATAGGTTAGCGGACGAAGCGTTTGAATCCGGTTGTGTCTGATTACACAAACTTGGTTCGAAGTTGGAACCCAGAAGAAATGTGACTGGTAAACTGCTACAAACCGTAGCCAGAAGCTTATGGACCATAGTTTTGAGCTCAGAGTTTCACGGTTATCCATAGCTGTGTCTCATTTCACAGGAAAACGTATAAGTTTTCCGTCTGACGTATCTGTGGTTCCAAGTATCTGAGAGTGGCAATATATGCACAAAAGTTGTAAAAAACGGGTTAAACTGAGGACAGTGGGTCTTTAGCGTAGTTCACTAGTGAGCTATCGTTTGTTCTGTCTATCGGTCAAACAAAACCAGACTGAATATTCTTCCGAAGACATATATATTGGGGAGAATAGATTTTTTGTCGTCACAGATGGCCAGCCTTGTTTGACGGAGTTCGGACAGTGCTGTCGGGTGTTCAAACTTAAGGCGGCCTCCGGTGCCAGCGCAGCTGTCGCTAGCTCGCCGTGACGTAAAAGCATGGCAGCTCGACAGTACAACCAAGCGGAACTAGACCGATCCCTTCGTCTGTGTTTTGTTGCAATTCGGTGATATGCACTTGGAGAACCACCGTACTTAATGTAACGTAATACCTAGTGACCTTACGCAGTGTCACACCAACCACACATCCCGTTTGGCACCAGATATGTTGCTGGTTCAACCGCTGTCATGAAAATGCATCCCGTTTGTTGCTGGTTCAACCGCTGTCATGAAAATTGGCTCGGTCAATCTCGCTGCGTAACCACGTTAGACAAAATCTAGTTGATTGTATTGTTACCGCCTGATGAGTAATCGCTTCGTTCCCAGGGGATCACCAACACCGAAAGACTGAATGGTTCACAGGCTAATGGACTTTTGCTATTGTGGCACAGCGGCAGACAGCGGTCGGGCGATTGTGCCGCGGTAGATTCCATTTGGTTGATAGTTTGATCGGTCCTCCGTTGTCCGACTTGTCTGACCAGATTGACGTGATGTGGGGTGGTAACTAGGGACGAGCAATCAATGAGATCCCACAAATGGGATTAGCCGTTTCTTTGTGACGGCCAGTCCGAAATTTCAAATGCACACAAAGAAATGGCCTGGTTTAAAAACAAGCCTGTCTGTTCCAGTTGTCCGACAGTTCCCAGCCTGGGCGGAAAATCACAAGACTATGGTGGATGGCGATCACCAAACAAAACGGACAAAAAAGGACATAAACATCCAGTCAGTGGATGTGAGAACATTTGCAGTCCGGATTATGGAGGATAACGCAGACAAAAGTGGACATGAATTGGACAAACACAAGCGTATTCACAAAGACGAATGGCGTAATGGAATCAGCTGACCAGCATCAATTTCACTCTGCTAAACTATAGCCGGAATACACAATGAACTGTTGACCAGCTGACCTTTGAACGTCCCATAAATAAAGGCACAACAAGCACGTAAATCGATAACAGCACTTGTGCTGACATGACCACGGCAGCTGACCATGACAGCACGCCTACAAAACGCTATCGTAGGAATAGGCCTATCCGTTTCAGGTCTTAAGTATCCTGTCAAACACTATACTTTACAGCAGTACGCCCCGCGAAATGGGAATTCTATCGAACATAGCGCAGACAAGCAGAAAGATGCTGGAAGCTGGACTGGAACTTGCAACCCCATGCTTTTCGGATGACTGTTCTAACATTTCAGCGCTACCCTGGAGAGTAGATTTCATATCGATTGCAAGATGGATAGACCGCTAAGGTCGACCAGCGTAACGACCGCGTCCATTTCGATGAGCCAGACATTGTATTTATTTGGTTGGAATACGTAAATTCTCGGGCAGCTACCTTCACATTGCAAACTTTTCGATACGAGAATTTCCTTCTTCTCCCGTTTCAGTTGTTGCAGTTTGGCTTTCAGACGGAAAACGATGTGGTGGACTACTGACAAAAATCGCAATGATGCAACAAAATATATTATTATTTTATTATAATATATATATTATATTAGCTCACCGTTGTAAACAACATCGTCCCAGACAGTGCAAGGCTGATGGAAAAAGAGGTATCGTCCACTCAGAACGACCACGTAACAGGAAAGACTCCACATTATACAGTGTAAGGATCCTTTCCACAGTGATTCGGGCACTTTAATGGCATCTTGTTCTTGAACGCCGCATTCGCGAGCCCAGTTCTGAAAGTCATACGGTTTTTGAGAAGCGGGATTAACGGAAAAGAACTGTTGAACAAGGAAGAACTCAGTTGAGTACATAGCATCTGGTCAATTCGTCATCAGAGCAAAAGTTGAACCATTAGTTGGCTTGGGGTTGAACAGGAAGACCACTACCTTAGCTTTCAAACCACACTGTACAGTGTTCTTTTTTTCTTTTGCCGGCTTTTGACGCACGACCAATCAATACGCTTCCGCTCTAATTTTGTGTTGTGTATAATTTGTGCATACATTCCACTTATTAGGTTCTTCTCGTTTTTGGCTGCGCGTCACCGGGTCAATGGTTGTAAGCGATGCAAACCATGGATGGCAACCACCTGCAGTCGTCCGCAAGTCAGCGTTGAAGAGCAACACCACAGATACTGTTGTCCGTAGTGCAGTGCATAGCCAGATATCTACCTACCTTGCTGGAACTGCCAAGTGTTCATCAGCACCTGAGAACCATATTACTGGACAGTGATCAGTGATTGTACGGTCGTATACGAAAACAGGTTGTGAATTTTAAAGAGATGAACAATGCGGTCCAGATGGCTGTTGAGCACTGATAATAATATAACAAGCGAAATTCTATGTTTGACACTACAATGACCATGTTATAACGGCCCCATTCGACCTAAATTGAGCACAGAAACTCTCCAAAGTGTTGAGCAGAACAAATCACATTGTTCAAACTGGAATACGTTCGTTTTCTGATAGATTAACTGCATCCGAGGGTGCTGGAGAATTTGTCATGGCATTTTGGATGCCCTGAGTTCAAATCCTTGCACAGTCAGGGAACTCCGATAGCAGAAAAGCCCAATTCCAGTGTTTCAACTCTTTGATGTGGGTAAATCAGAATAACTGTATCAGGACAGAAGATCTCCGAAGAACAGCCTTCCAACTGAGTCAAACTTGCGGGCAATACAAACCAAACTGAACGACTGGATTTATTATTGTGGCTTGATTCCACTGACCGAACTCTCTTTGTTCAGGATCACTCGACTCCTTTGTACGGTGAGTGGACTCCTGTCAACCTTGCCTCCCAAGTGTGATCAGTGGATACGAAAATCATTCAGACTATAAAATTAGCCTATTGAAAATACGTAATAAATATAATGGAGGACGTTTCAGACCATAATTGAGGTTTGTGGGTATTATCCTTTCCTAATACATCAAGGCAATCATAGTGAAAGTTTTTTTCTTGGGTCGGAACAGTCTTCTGAACAAGTGATCTGCCAAGAGTACTCTTCCACACGGAGACGCATTAAGAGATAGTACAGGTTACAGGAAGATGCAATAAGAACTCTTTGCGTTCTCTTCCAGCGAACATGTACTTGTGTGAATTATTTGGTTTCGTTAAGTATTCCAGTTATGTTCTCTTAAAAGTGATACCACTCTGTACTCTATGCTGAAAAGCCTATAGGCTCTGCGGAGGCGAGATGGCCCAAGTGGTTAGAGTGTGAACCCGACCTCCGCCTGTCGACTTTCCCTGTCTAGGCTTGGGCAACCTGGCAGTATCCTAGCCCTCGTGTTTCCTTCTGATGACATGGTAGCTAGGCACCGAAAGGGTGTTACAGCTGAGTGATTTATTTTTCTATAGTCTCTGTGCAACTATCTTATTCCTTTCAGGATTCATTGGCGGTGCGCATCTGACGACTCTCAAACGAGATTCCTCACCCGAGGAATGTGCCTATGTGACGTGAACTGTTACATCCTGTCCAAATACGCATCGATCGTACTCTGACCAGTCGCACCCGCGAAAAATTACCAGTGAGTGTTGAAACGTGCATAGCGGATAATGAACCAAATGTACAGCAGTCCGCGGTTTTTCGGGCGGATGAATTTCATAACGTCTTCATACTACAATCAAATTCTTATCAGACAAAGCAGGGTGTCTATTGCATTGGAGAAGGTTACTTAAAAGAACCAGTAAGACTGTCACAGAAGGTGACAGTGGACCGAACAGTGGCTTGCACCGAATGCATTCGACATTTTCCACTTGTGAATTCGTCGGACACGCTTGCTTGAATAGAAATTGTCCAAGAAAAACATCGTCAGCTATGGGAGTGGGTAAGGTATTGGCGCGAAAAGTGCTCGGTCTGACGAGAACTCCAAAGTCTATCTCACGAACAAACAATGAAGTTGGGAGGCAACGAATCATATCCGACCTGATTTGATTGGACCGTTCCAATCCTGGCTGTGCCCATGACTGAGCTGTTAATGTATTAACCTGGCAAAACAGAACACAATTCAGTATGGACTGGATTTCGAAACAATCGGATGCCAGTAGCAAGCGAAACAAATGCTGCTTCAGATTTGTTCCTTTTCGGTCACGTGTGTTTCGTTGGCCGCGTGACCAATACTAAGTGCCCATCAGCTGACAAAGCGTGGTGCGAGCCACCACACGGCGCAGTTCTGCGCACATTCGCGGCTAACTACTTAATACGATGGTAAAAACAGCCAGGATGTCTGTGGAATGTTTCGAGAAACTATCCTCAAACGTAACAATAAATCGACACGGTCGATTGGTCTTCGACAAAGGTAAATGCCACTCATCCTTCATATTTTTTATCCACTTCGGTAAATGAAATAGATACTGAAGCCATTAGTAGATGTGAGCCGAATAACCTTCGATATACAAACGACACCTTTTCTCCTGTGCATGATCAAGAATCTCATTGTGTCTCGTAAACGATAGTGCAACTACAATATCGATCCTTGGTTTCCTGTTTCTCCTTTCACATAGACAAAAGAAAAATTTTACAACTGTACTTATAGTGCTATGATGCAATTTTGCACAAGGTCACACTGGAGTGGTTCTGATGGGAGGAGAAGAGCTGAGCTGATCGACTCATATTCTGACCAATCGGCGCGTGCTTTCGTTACAGTCCGCAGCTTGCTCGTGACATCTCGGTCCAGTCGACGTGAAGTTCGATTATTTAGAGCGACTGGCCTCGGGAAAAAACCTTAATTCCACTTCTGTGAGAATTTTACAACGGGAAATCGGTATTGGCTTATTTCATGGCGCTTTTCTGCGAGACGGAGTCAAAATAGTAGAGCAGGGCATGCGTGCATTTCATCCGTAAACGATGACTAATCGCCTAACCAAGCCTTAATCATTTCTAAGGAAGCGGCAAGCTGGCAAGTGATAAACGAAGGGGTTTGTCCTCAAGTGATTTCTACCTGTATCTTGGTCTGACCGCCATTATGCGTTGGAGTCATACACACCCGTATTCTTTTCCAATTTGGAAACAACCTACACGATGGCCGACGTTTACGTCAACTTTTCTGCAACGCACAATAACCTATTTAACCCTGTCATCTGGAATGTCCCATTGACGCAAACAAGCTAACAAGCTTATTTCGGATGGCTATAGCCTGGTTTGGCACATACTTCGAGATTCATCAGGAATATCATGTGAATACAGCAGGGTTCGGCAGCGAGCTCGGTTCGGCGTTCGAGCTCGGAGTATACGCGATTAACTCCAATCATGGCTTCATTTGTTCACAATCACATCACTCTAGTTTGGACAGTCCATCTCCTTTCATAAAATACCAGTTCTGTTGGGCCCATATCAACGAGTGGAAGCACTGGACTTGAGTTTCGGTTTCATTAGGGTTCATCAGCGATAAATATCTTTAACTGTGTCGGGATTTGAGCTCCAAAAGTCTGACATGAAAGGTGAGTGTGCTACCGCTAACACTGTAACCGCGGACACTACTGATGAGGTGTGCGAGTACTATGTGGTTTTCTCGTAGCTCCTCCTTGCATCTAGTAGAGGTGCACCCACATGAGGTTTACTACGGAACCTGCGGAAATGCTTTGCAGCGCTCATTTACAGTCAACGAACATCCACGAAAGTTGGAGAAGACGTGTGAGGATTTTCAATTTTTTAAAAATAAGTTGCATACGAGATGTTTACTTTTTTGTCCAATAGTTTGTAACAGTTTAGTTGGTTGTTTTCTAATGAAGAGCTCGCGGCAAATGGTTTTCTCCCTTACATCACCGCTATTTAAGTGGCCTTTGTCTAGATTCGCAGGGTACACCATTATGCTTTAATGTTGTCACTTGTCAAGCGCACAAATTGGTACTTTTAGGGTCCGCCCTAAGGAAGTTGAAACTTTGGTGGCAATTATCCGACTATACGCTGACAGCCTTATTCTTCACAGATTCCTATCCTGTGCTCAACCAAGCGGAAACCAGGTGAATTCACGAGTACAGTGAGAACGATGACCGCTTGACAGTAAGGTTACGAATGTGAACTTTGAGTCAGAACACCAGGCTGTTGAATCCTCCTGACACACTCAGGTTGGTGTCGCCCGGAACGAAATGCATGACAGAGTTTTCCCGACCATTACTGATTTGTGGGGGCCGGTTTTATGGGAAAACAAAGATGTTCACTTGCACGACTGGAGACCAGTGTGGCTGAACAAACAAAGGACATCTCATTCGGAGTTTTGGAGAAAACGAACTCGGAACAAAAAATGTCGGAACATGCATTTGTTGAATATATAACAATTTGTAGGTGACATAAGTAGGCCACAAACAAATCTTGGCCTTACTTGTGGACTTTCATTTCGACAACTTAGGTTCGATTTCCTGTGAATGTCATGAAATAAGCTGCCAGTTTTCGTCTTCAGATTTGTCACACTTGTTAATGAGCGTGAAAAATAGTTCAGTTTCTATTCTGGGGTTGACGAGGAGTTTTCAGTAGTGAGTAGTGTGTTACGTCTATACAGTGTACCGCGATATCTCGATTATCGTACCAACTGAAGTGTTAGACGGCCTGGTGCAGAACACTCAGTGATATTGACAGAAACGCACAACAAGGAATGCAACTGACATTGGTCTGTCCATATACATTATGGCATCATCTAACGAATGATAACTGACGATTTGTGTTTGAGCACGATTCAGTCCGATGAATTTCAGACGGGATCAGACAGCCACAAATAGTTAACCGCCGCCTGACGACAACCCCACA